TTTATTGGTTACCCCCTCTTGCTCCCCGCCCCACGAATTTCTTTGATTTCCTGCACGATAGAATCCTCTGTTCCTTAGACAACTTGCTGGATAACAGTCTGATGATGACATTCGGTCCTTCGGGGGGAGGCTCCTGCTCTGAGTTCACGGGCTCATCCTGCGCTCTTGGGTGCCTTGCGCCCAGCAGGCGGGATTGCCTGATGTATCGCAGTTCAGTCTTCTGAGGCGTCCACATTCCTTACGTCCAGTGCTGACCTCCTGGCCAGAGGAGCTGTGTTTTACCTGTGCCACATTTCAGTCATAGGAAAAAAAGGTAAATGACTGCAAATAGCAAGCACTCATCAATAGGAATTTATTGAAAAGCAAATAGACGTCCAGATGCCGTAGGCTTGGTACAGCTGTGGCGTTCCTGTCTCCACACATGTGTTCTGTCTCATTGACCAATGGAGAACCCCATCTTGAGTTGTGTGTAAGGGGGGAGATTAGTCAAGATACATGAAAGAATAATAATAAGAACTTTGGACAACTGACTTCATTTCCCTGAATCCAAGCTTTGTTATCTGTTAACAGTAATGAGTGAATAATTATTCAAAGCACAGGGAATTTGGGGACCTCCCACGTGATACTCAGGAGGCCCAGGGCCGCCTCATTGATGCTCCTCCAACAAGAAGGAGGTGACCCGGGACAGTCCGGCAGTGCTCAGGGGCCCGCAGGCTGCTCCCAGTGATGCTCGGGGATCGAACCAGGCGTTGGCACTGCAAGTCAGATGTCTTCACTCCTGTGCCTGCTCTGTCTCCAGCCCCAAAGGAATTTTCTAGACATCCATTTTATGGGCAGCACCACCTGTAAAAATGAATAGAAGGTCTGAGCTACTACAGGCATTCACATTCCAGTTGTTTTGCTTTGTGGGGTTTTGTGTCCTGTCCCGTCCTGTTCAGGAATACTGAGACACTCGGGGTCACTGTCCGGGAGCATCAGATGGAAGATGGTATCCCAGGTCGTTCAGGGAGAGGTGCTCTGCGCTGGGTTCACAGGACTGGCCGGCAGGATGGCCTGGCGTGTCACGGCTCGGTCTTCTGAGGCGTCCACATTCCCCCTCACTCCTCTGGAGCTAACCTCCCGGCAAAAAGGAGCCACGTTTTGCCTGTTTCTGCACCACATTTCAGTCATGGGGAAAAAAGGTAAATTACTGCAGAAAGGGCTGTGACCTGCAGAAAGGGATGTGACGGAGGCGCAGTCTAATGATGGGCATAAGCTAATCATTCATATGCTAATCGTTCTCTGAGTTCATGCTCTCAGGGCTGAAATCTCAGAGCTATTGCCGGGTGGCCCTGTTTGTGTCCACTCTCGGCTTTCCTGAGAGGCGAACCACCCCAGGAAGCCGCTGGCGCTGGTCAAGCCCTGCCGTCCGCTAGTGAAACCGGCCTCTCGGGGCTGCTCCTAGGATGTGGGGACTTGATTTCTTCAAAATCTTCCCAGCTGTGGGGCCGCGAGGTGGCCTGGTGGTTTAAAACTCTTGGCGGTGGCGCAACACGGGTGCCAGCCTTGGTGCCTGCGGGGAGCACTCCTGGTGGGGCCCCAGAAAGTCCCCTGACAGCTGCTGAGGGACGGGGAAGCGCTGACCCAGGAACCGAATCTCAGGCGCTGGGTCTGAGGTGATCCCACAGCCCCCATGGTCTCTGAGCCCACAGCCCCGACTGCCTCTGCCTCGTGGAGGGAGCTGTGTCCTCCCCGCTCCACCCCCCAACCCCCACGGCTTCAGAGTCAGCTAGCTCTGAGAGCCTCTGCTCGGTTTTCTCCTTCCTCTTGGGTGTTTTCCAGGATTATAGAGGACCTTAAGGTAATTCTTTTTTTTTTCCCTTGATTTTTTTGAAACACATAATAGCATCTATAGAGTTTCAGCATTTATAAAATGCTTTTATGATCTCATTAAAGCCCTGTAATTCTTTTAGAAAGGTGTTTTTATCCTCACATTGCAGAGAACCTAGTCAAGGCCTGGCGAAAACATACGTTAAGGTGAAGGTGGTGTCAGAGGACTTGAACCTGGGTTCTCCCTCCGAACCAGCCTTTCTAGCAGACGTCCAAGCCCAGCTTACATTGTCCCCATCTGGATCGTTTTAGGGTCTGTTAGTAAATCTTTGCTCACTCTCCATCTGACTGAACTATATGCATGGTTTGTATTATGATGATGATGATGATGATGATTTTAGGAAGCCATAGCTGGTGGTGTTCAAGGCTTGCTCTTGGCTCAGTGCTCAGGGATCACTCCTGGGGGGTGCCTGACCTGGGTTTGGTCCCTGGAACCCTATATGTCTGTGGTTTTGCTGGTTCTTGACTGAGTTTCAGTGGCAAGAAGGAACCATATATCTAATTTTTCACCTCTAGCTGGGTAGATTTTAGCTTTTTTGGGTTAGGCTTCTAATTACTTTTTTTCCTTTAATGAGAAAAAAAGATTTCTCCCTAGCTTCAGATCTTGAGGTGTAATTTGAAGGGGAAAAGGGATTTTATCGAAATTTGGAAACCCTACAACTTGACTTTTGGCCTGTATTATGTTTGGTAAGTGGTGGATGTTAAGAATCGCCCTTCCTCATGGTGTTTGCCTTTCATGCGCTTGACCCAGGTTTGATCCCCGGCATCCCATACGGTCCCCTGAGCCCTGCCAGGCCCGATCCCTGAGTGCACTCCTGAGCACCGCTTTTGGTGTTGCCCCCAAACAGAACAAAAAGAATCATCCTTACTGAAGGGGATGATTGAGATAATGATCAGTGCTTTTTAATGAACTTAGTTGGTGAGTACTTGGATCAAGCACGCCACCAGTACCCGAGTTACTCTTCTAGAATAATAAATGGTTAGATTTAAGCCAGTAGACTCAGTTTAATATCCTCCTGAACAAATACCACACCCCAGTTCTGTAAAATAGGCATAAATTTGTAAAGTCATTTTTTTTTTGTCGTTGTTTTTACCCACCTTTCTGTCTCTTTTTATTAAAGTAACATTGCTTTAGGTTTCAGGTGTGCCACATTGTAATCTGATATCTATATTGGGATCCCTAGAGAAGAAAACTTTTTTTTTATGGGGTAGCAGTATGTGTAGGGGGTTGTCACACCCGATGATGCTCAGGGATCACTCCTGGCTCGACACTCCGGAATTGCTCTTGGCAGTTCTTAGGTTCTGTAGGGATGCTGGCGATTGAACCCAGGTCAGCTGCATGCAAAGCAAGCATGTAAGGTGAGTTTTAAGAGGGTTCTTAGCGGTGACACATTTAAACAATTCTTCAGTTTACATCTGTGATTTTGCTTTCCTAGTGACATAGTTCTTAGTGATAATCAGCCTTTTAAAAACTCTGAAACTATAGGCGCCAGAGACAGTCGTACAAGAGGTGACGCACGGGCCTTGCATGTGGCTGCTTTCCCCATGACCCCAGTCTTATGCCCAGTTCTGTCAGACGCTGCAGGGGTCACTGCTTCACACAGAGCCAGGAATAGCCCCTCAGCATCACCTAGCCCCCACTCCTACCCACCTCTGCTCCCCCCACCCTGCCCCGGAACCAACAATCCTGTAAAAAGCAGAAGGATCATCAATTTCAGGACTTCAAATCCAGTTTAATCATGAAAAAGTCATTCAAGGTAAAAGTCGCATCAGACGCAGCCCCAGGTTAAAGCCACGTGGCTTCTGAGGCAGAGTGTGGGTGACATTGGGGGTTCAGGGGGGTCTCATGTCGGGCCCAGCCCAGACTCCAGGAATCATGGGTATAGGTAGCTGCCAGCTTATGGTAGAGTTGGGCTGGAACCTGGTGTCTTGGGTCCTGTGTTTCTTCCTTCTGGACCATACTCGGATGGCTGTTGTCATCTGCACACGAGGTGGAAAGAGTTGGTGTAGCTGTGAGAGGACGTCACCACAGGACAGGGGCCAGCAGGAGGAGGCGGCTGAGGTGGGGGAGTGTGGGGGGGCGGTTTCCGCCCAATTCCACTTGCGATGTAACTGCGGGTGGGCTCTGCCCCAGCGACTCAGGTTTCCGGGCGTCCTGTGGCCTGTTTGCTCAGGCCCAGCAGAAGCCCCAGCAAGCAGCCTTGTTGGCTCCTGCAGGCAGATTGGAGCAGAAGTATTGGCTGAGCTGGAGGGACAGGACGGGACGCGGCAGTCACATGCGCGCCTTACCCAAGAGGCGTGACACCTGCTGGCTGGAGGCCTCTGCTCCGATGCCTCACAGAGGAGCAGATTTCAGCCACTCTGGACGTGGGGGCTGCTGGTGTGTGTGTGTGTGTATGTGTGTGTGTGTGTGTGTGTGTGTGTGTCTGTCTCCCCGTCCCAGTCTTCACTGCAGTGAACAGGGGTGGCCCTGAAGGCCACCAGCTAGATTGGTCTTTCCCTTTGCTGAGACTTCCTCTTGGCCATCGGCTTCTGCTTTTGGCACAAAACAACAGAAAACACAAATAAGTTCTCTCTTCCTGGCGTGGTGACTGGAGGATGTGTCTGGATTCCTGGGGTTTCACTTCCCCCCACCCCCCCGCCAGTTGGAGGCAATACCTCTGCCTCACTAGGGGACCCTCCTCTGCCTCCCCGAGCCTGGTGTCCCCTTGCTGTGTAACTCCAGACCATGGCGGCATCTCCCTTCCCTAACTCAGCTGGGTCACCTCAAGTCACCTTCAGTTGTTCTGTTCCCTCTGGCCTCTCCCTGCAGGGAAGGTAACTTCCTCGTGTATTTTGTGAGCTCAGACGACTGTATTTTAAGGTTTGGTATCGGAGCCAGGACCGTGTCTGTTACTGAACACGTAGTCATGTGTGGGCTTGCTGGGTCCATGGTTTCCTTGAGATACCTTCCGAGAGCAGGAGCGCCTGGCAGGCGTGTGCCAGTTCTTGGTGCATGTTTCTGGCGTGTTTTTTTTTTTAAAACATCCTCGACACCCCAGAGATCCTGGAGTCTGGGTAGTAGTCATGAACGCTTCGTATTTGGAGTCAAGAGCAAGAGTCTATAAATGCTGCTTTATGTATCTGTGCAGAGCATCGTGTCAAAGAACGCCCTGCAGTACCGGGGAAACTCTCAGCACGATGCCCAGGAGTTTCTGCTGTGGCTCTTGGACCGGGTTCATGAAGACCTCCACCATGCAGTGCAGCCGAGCGGCCAGCCGCCTCTGAAGGTGAGCGCGGGCACTGGGAGGAGAGGGGCTTGCGTGGGCTTGCGGAAGATGTTACTGTTCGCAGTTGGTTCCTACCCCCAAATTGATGTTCTTGGTAGATGTGCAGGGTTTACTCCTGGCTCTGTGCTCAGGGATCACTCCTTGACCAGAACTTGGGTGCCCGGATTGCACCTGGTTGGGTGGCGTGCAAGGCAAGGGACTACGTTATCATACATTATCAGCTCCCTAAATGCTTACTGGCTGTTTCCTGCCGGGTGTAAGTGTCTAGGGATGCAAGGCGCTCGCTAACAAGAGGGATCATATTTTACAGGTATGTCTATAACAAAGTGATACTGGGGCCCGTAGTACAGCAGGTAGAGCACTTGCCTTGCATGCAGCTAACCTGGGTTCCATCCCCAGCATCCTATAGGGCCCCCCAACCCCCAGCAGGAATGATCCTTGAGCACAGAGCCAGGAGTAAGTCCTGAGCACCGCTGGGTGTGGCCAAAATCACCCCCACCCCTCGCTACCCCCTGGCCCCCCCCCAAAAAAAAAACACCTGATTTCTTTCCAGCTGTTTATAAAGTAGAAGTTTCCTTTCTGTTTCAAGGAGACAAGTAGCTTATTGATCACAGGAATTGATACTTTTTTTTTCTTTAAAGGAAGCCTATGCATGTTTCTGTTATTTGGATTGGATAGAACATAGGAACTGAACCCAGGTGCTCCGGGTTTACTCCTGGCTCTGTGCACAGGGATCACTCTATGAGTGGAGGTTGGGTGCCTGGATTGAGTCTGGGTGGGCCACATGTAGCAAGAGCAGGACCGTAGGACTGTAGACAGGACTCTCCATCCCGTCTGAGAATATTTCTTCTGAGAATCTGGTTCATTTTCAGTGTTCCTGCATATGCCCTTAATAACCTGAAGACAAAAGGATTTTCTCTTTTCTCCTTTTGGATCACATCCAGCCACATACAGGAGTTACTCCTGGCTTTGCATTCAGGAATCACTCCTGGTGGTGCTTGGGGGGGCCATGTAAGATGATGGGGATTGAACCTGGGTCTGCTGTGTGCGAGGTCAACGCCCTCCCCGTTGTGCTGTTGCTCCAGCCTGACCAAAGGGTTTCTTTTTGGGAAAGGATTCAGACTGGAGAGTCACTTCCTTTTCTGGTTTTAAAGCTGTGGGTCATTCCGCCCCGACTTAACTTTGATGTGTCTGGTTTCAGTAAGTTGTTGCGTTCTCCTGATTTAAGGTGCTTCTGTGCCCGAGTGCTCTGTGCTGTCACCAGCCTGTGGGGCTGTGTGCTTGGGGCGACTCCTGCCAGCCCGAGTTCGCTCAGGGCCAGGCCCTGTGCCTTACCTGTGGGTCTGACCACCCCCCAAGGTGCACACTGCGCAAGGTGGCAGCTTCTTTGCCCCGAGTAGGTGGAGAGTGGGAGAGGTGTGAAATTTGAAGTACCAGATCAGGCACCAGCGTTTCTGGGCAGCGCTGCTATCAGACCTATGGCTTAGGGCAGCCGGCGTGTACCGCAGGGTTGGGGATTGTTTCCAGAAGAGACTGAGCAGCAGAGAGCTTGACCAGGTGGAATCTGCACGGCCCGGACCTGCCGGTAGGCAGCCAGACCTGGCACTTGTTCACCCGCCCTGTGGCTGCTTCAGGCCCATCTTGGATCTGGAGTTTGTGCTTCCGATCTGAAATGGATCCATATTCTTCCCCCCACCTTTCCCCTCTTTTTTTTTTTTGCTTTTTGGGTCACACCCGGCGATGCACTCAGGAATTACTCCTGGTAGTGCTTGGGGGACCATAGGGGATGCTGGGAATCGAACCCAGGTCAGCCACACGGAAGGCAAATGCCGTACCTGCTGTGCTATCGCTCCAGACCCTCTTTCCCCTCTTTTTTAGCCTCCGTCGGAGACTGACCTGATGCCCGAAGGACCATCTTTTCCAGTCTGTAGCACTTTTGTCCAGGAGCTTTTCCAGGCCCAGTACAGGTATGCGCCCGTCGGGTCTCCTCTGCCTCCGCCTGCCCGGCCGAGTTCGCAAAGACCTTAACGCACTTTTCGTCTCTGTTTCTGAAGATCCTCTTTGACATGTCCTCACTGTCAGAAGCAGAGCAACACCTTTGACCCTTTCCTCTGCATTTCTTTGCCAATTCCTCTGCCGCACACAAGGTAAGATCAGAGCCCGTGAAGTCCCGACCATGTAATCCGATCGTGTTCCTGTTGGGTTGCTGAGTGAGGCGGGTAGCTGTGTGATGGATGTGTCACGTACTGTGGGCACTTAGCACCTTGTGGGACTGTGTGTGCCTGCTGTTGGCGGGTGGGCAGGTGTGCAGTGAGTTCAGGTGTAGTTTGTGAGTTGGTTATCCACTGATCTTGGGGCTGGAGTGAGAGTAGAGCAGGGAGAGCGTTTGCCTTGCACGTGACTGACCCGGGTTCGATCCCCAGCATCCCTTGTGGTTCCCCTGAGCCCTGCCAGGAGTAATTCCTGATTGCAGAGCCAGGACTCAGCCCTGTGCCGCTGACCTTAAAGCAGGATGTGGGGTGATCACGTGCCTTTGTGACTCCAGAGAACTTATGTCGCAGTTTAAATTTGCTGCTTGAGGGGCTGGAGCAATAGCACAGTGGGTTGGGCATTTGCCTTGCATGCGGCCGACCCGGGTTCAATCCCATCATCCTGTATGGTTCCCCGAGCACTTCCAGGAGTAATTCCTGAGTGCAAAGCCAGGAGGAACCCCTGTGCATCGCCAGTGTGACCCAAAAAGAAAATAAAAATTGCTGCTTGATTTTAATTGTTTCTCCACATTCCCAACAGTTAGGCTGCCTTGAAGGAAGCATCTAGCACAGAATCTAACGTTGCCCTTCCCAGAGTGCTCTTGATTACAGCGGGGGGGGGTGGTTCTGTGTATGTTCAGAGGAAATTCTTCCCTTTGGCTCCCAGGTCGCGGTGTGGGTTGGTGTTGGGTGCTGTGCTTGGTCTCAAGTCGTGTGTGTTTGACTTCTGTGTCTCGGTGGAAGCGCGTTGGACTAATGAGGAGATCTGACTTTGATCTGCACAGGCCTCTCTATGTCACCGTAGTGTATCAAGGGAAATGCTCGCATTGCATGAGGATCGGGGTGGCCGTGCCTCTGTCGGGGACCGTCGCTAGGCTCCGGGAAGCAGTATCCATGGAGACAAAAATCCCCACTGAGCAGGTGAGAGGCTGTGCGGCCCATCACGCACGCGCTGTGACCATGTTGCTTCGGTTTCCTCTGGAACCGCTTAACGCTTCTCTGCCCACAATGGGTGGGTAGACCTAAATATTTCACGGCTTTCAGTACCAAGAGGAGATGCAGGCTGGGGTAAGTATGAGGCCTGCTCTTGGTTCCTGTCATTGAAAAAATAATGTTTTTTTTTCAATTTCATTGTGTATGTGTAGTTAAAAATGGAAGCTATGGGGCTGGAGTGATAGCACAGTGGGTGGGGTGTTTGCCTTGCACGTGGCTGACCCGGATTCGATTCCCAGCATCCCATATGGTCCCCTGAGCACCGCCAGGAGTAATTCTTGAGTGCAGAGCCAGGAGTAACTCCTGTGCATCGCTGGGTGTGACCCAAAAAGCATAAAATAAACCCCAAAAACGGAAGCTATGACTTGACACCAGTGTTCTCTCGTAAGCTTTGTTTATAAAGTGTAATTGCTTTACATCTCTTAAATCACCCTTATGGATTCCTGTGTCAGGAGGAGGAAGAGCGCCCCATAGGATTTGAAGTTCAGAGAGGCTTTGAAGTTCAGAAAACTAAGCCGGTGGCTTTTGAAAAGCCCATCCCATTATGGTGATAAAGATGAGCTTCTTGCTAGAACAGCACGTAATAAATGCGCAATTAAGTTTGCTTTCTAAGGAGGGCCGGAGCGCTGGTACAGCAGGTAGGGTGCTTGCCCTGCAAACTGCCAACCCAGATTTGCTCCTTGATCCCTCATATAGTCCTGCCAGGAGTAATTCTTGAGTGCAGAGCCAGGAGTAACACCCTGAACATCACCGCGGGCTTCCCACCACCACCACCGCTATCTCCCCCAGGAAAAAAAAAGGGTTTGTTTTCTAATGAAATCTGGACAGTTTCTTGCATTATTGAAATGACAGAAGAAAGTTGTGTCTCTAGAGCATCACCCTTCTTTTTTGGGCACATTTTTGATAAGTAGTTATATTTCCAGTTATAATTAAACGCTCTTGGCCTATTGTGACTTAAATATATTGTTGTATCTGTATTACCTGTATATATATATGTGTGTGTGTGTGTATGTATGTACATACATACATATGTGTGTGTATACACACACACATGCACACACACACACACACACACACACACACACACTTTCCATTCACCATTGCAGTTTTGTTTGAACAAGTGTTCCCTAGTCAGGGTAGACTTGAGGCAGGGTGATTCAGTGGCTGAATAACTTGTCCCTAGATAGTCCTCTTCTCTGGGAGCTGCTGTGTAATCACTTGAATAATACGGTGTTTTGTGCGTTGTCCTCATGCGGCCTCGTTTGGGAGCTGCCACAGCAAACCAGTTGCAGCCGGCAGCGATACCTGAAGGCAGGCAGCAGCATCTCACGTTGTCACGGGCCAAGTGCTGGCGCGCCTGGAACGTGTTCACATTCTTTCGGACTCGGAAGACCTCAGGGATTCTTCTTACCTGCTTTGGGATCAGGGGAAGAACACAAGGGGAGGGAGAGGAGGCAAACCTGGTTGTATGTTCCAGGTTTCTGGTGCGGCCTGCCTCTGCCCCTCCCCTCTCCTCCCTCCTTTCCCTTCCCTTTTCTCCCTCCTCCCCCTCTCCTTCTCTCCCCTGTCCGTGATGACTGTTTCCCTGCACACCTGGGGGGCGCTTGGCTGGATGTGCTTGCGTGCTTGGCCATGGTGTGTGCTGGTACTCTGCACTTTGCTGTGGTGCTGGCACCTGGGGCGTGTGTGGGGGGGGGCGGGGGGGCAGTGGCTTCCTTGTAGTGCTTGCTGGACTCACTGTGCTGGGCTGTGTTCCCGGCACCGTTGCCAGCACATGGCTCCTTGTGCTTGCGCACACGCTTGCACACACACTGTGGGGCTGTCCAGGGTGCCCCGACAGCAGAGCCGGGGGTGGGCCGGGGCTGAACTCTCAGCCTGGCCATGCGGAGCAGGCAGACACGTTTGAGCCACCTTGCCGGTCCCTAGTCCCCAGGGGTTCTTTTTCCTGTGGTTTAAGTGGAGGCTGATATCAAACTGATGGATCGAAAGTTTGGGATGCAGTGTGGTCATCACGTTCGTTAGCGGTGGCGTGGGGTTGTGCCGAAAATGCTTTTCCTAGTCATCCCGTGGAGCATGCCACCGGGCCCTTTGACCTCACAGACTCACTGTGTGTTTGCTGTAGCCATGTCCGGGCCAGCCCCGCAGCCTGAAGGAGGCCCAGCACAGCTGTGGGTGTTGTTCTGGGCAGACGATGGCTTGGTGACAGGTGGGGCCTGGGGCCTGCCGGCTTTGAACGTTTTCTCCCCATCTTTTGTTTTTCTTTGTCAAGTACTCAACTAGTTTCCACATGACTTAGAAAATGAAAGTAACTCGGAGGCTGGAGCAGTCGTAGCACAGCCGCTGGCAGGGTGCTGGGCCTGCACATGGCCTGCCCAGGTTTCATCCCTGGCACCCCCATATGGTCCCCTGAGCCCTGCCAGGAGTGATTCCTGAGCACAGAACCAGGAATAAGCCCTGAGCACTGCTTTCACAGAAAAGAAAACAAAAACCTCCAGCCCTCCCCCCCTAAAAAAACCCCACAAAGACTGTGTGGAATATCTTTCTAGTGAGGGTTACTAGTTTCAGAACTAGGCTATGTATTAATTTACTTTTTCCTGTGCATACTCTACATTCGTTATTTTATAAAAATGGGATTCACCACCCACCATGTCTTTCATTTACTCAGGATTTTTTCATGTTAATGCAAATATTTGTACATTTATCGTTAATAGCTTTGTAATTCCAGTAGGGCCGTAATATAATTTATTTCTTCATGTTGAACATTGAGTTGATTTAATTTTCTTGCAGTGAAAGTATGTGTGGCCATCCAGTGTTAGCCCAGAAAGAAGAAACTGCAGTGCTGTAGGGGCTCGTGTTGGAGCCTGATGAGGACTTCATCCTCAAGGAGCCCCAGTAGTGGTGTATGTCAGAGTCCCTGTGGCTCTCCTAGTTTCTGTCCCTAGTGGAACCAAAGGGTCTAGGTTTTAAAATGGCCTGAGACGCTTTGCCAGGGCTTAGAGGAGCTCTGGGTCTAGTGCCGTAAGCTTCCAGATTCAGAGTGGGCATTCCGCGAGTCCCGAGGGGTCCTGCTCCAAGACTCTCTCATCACAAGCAGTGGAGGCTTCAGAGAGGCATCTGTGAGCCTTCTTGGTCCCCATGGGCTCTGTGTCCCAGAGCACTTCCTGCTCTAGTCGGGAGATCGATCTGCATTGACCCTTCAGTGATCCAACTGCTTGCCTTCCGTCTTTCCTATTTTTAGATCGTGTTAACGGAAATGTACTACGATGGGTTCCATCGTTCCTTTTGTGACACAGACGACCTGGAGACCGTCCATGAAAGTGACTGCATCTTTGCCTTTGAGACTCCAGAAATATTTCGGCCCGAAGGAATTCTCAGTCAGAGAGGTAAAGGAGTATCTGGAATCGGTTTTCATAATTCCACCTGGGTTTGTGGGTTGACACCCTAGCAGAGGGATGGGGCCGTGCTTTTAAAATCCTGGTAGCAGCCTTGCCTTTCCATCTGGGACTGTGCTCCACGTTTGCTGGGACCCTGAGCCCTGGGAGCAGGTGCGGCTGGAGACGAGGCTCTTCACTCCCTGAATGCTTTGGTGCACACTTGGACCTCCTTCCTGAGGCCGCGGGTGGACGTGTCTGCTCTTGCGTGGCCTGTGTGGTATTAGGAGGTGACCTTGGGTTGGCCTACCTTGCTCTCCTTTCCGTTTCCTTTCCTTACCTCTGACGGGTGATCTCAGGATTCAGAGATTGTCCCTGCCATTTTCTGGAAATCGCTTCAGCGATGTGACGTGGGACCGAGTGATGTGATGGCGTCGGACCGGGCTGTGCCTCCCTCCCGGTCGTGCCCTGCGGCCGCGTCTCATTCTGAGATGGCTTCTGGCTGCAGTGCACCTCACGGGCTTGGCCAGCCTCTTCGGCCACAATCAGAATTTCCCTGGCCCCTGGGAACTGGCGAGAAAGGCCAGTCCTAGGAGCCCCCGAGAGCCTGGGGGAGGGGGCAGCGCTTTGTGCTGCCCTGGGGATGCCAGGGCTTTGTGCTCTCAGCCTTCCCCCTGAGATGCTGCCCTCCCCTGTGTGCTCTCTGGAGTGGGAACACTGCCAGCCGTTTTCCTGCCCGGGCTGGATCCAGCTCTTCCCCGTCGGCTATTGGGTCCCTTCTCGGAGTTCACGAAGAGTGTGGGCACAGTGCGTTTCTCCCGCCTGCTGCTGCTGCCCGTGGCTGGAGCTTCTTGCCTCCTGCCTTGGAGTCTTGCCGTTCTCTGCGTGTGCTGTTTCCCCACGGCCAGGCCAGGCTCGGCCTGACCCGGTCTGTCCACGCCCCACCAGCCTGGATCTGCCGGTGGCTGCTGTGTCAGAAATGAACCCTGAGCCCTCGGGAGAGTGTGTGGCCTTTCAGGACAGGATCTGTGCCTTTCAGGAAGTTTTCTGTCTTGCTCCTCCTTCGCAGACCCCGTTCCTAGTTGCTCTTCCTTTCGCATGCTTTCCGTGGGTTTGCTCCGGCTGAGAACTCACCTGGCAAGCTCCTGTCTCGTTAGGTCCCGCCTTGTGCTTCCCTGAGTCGCTCCCAGGTTCTTCCATCCCTCTCAGTCCTAAGGCGCCACTTTCTGTCTCTCTCGAGTCCCCCCTGTGGAAGCTTGCACAGGGAGCAGTGAGACAGCACTGGAAGGAAGTCTGCCCTAGGGAGGCCCGTGGGGTGCGTCCATTCTCCCAGGGCGTTTCCTGCTTGTTCCCATCAGGTTTTCGGTTGGCATGTTTCACTTCCTGGATACATGTATGTCTCAGGGTAGAGCTGCTGGGTTAGGTGATAGTGTATTTAATCATTTGATGAGCGATCAAACTGCCTGAGGGTCTATACATCGCACTTTATAGTTCTGCCAGCAGTGCTTTTGTTGTTGTTTTTAGGGGAGTTACACCCAGCAGTGCTCAGGGCTTACTTCTGACTCTGCTGTCACTCAGCTCACTTCTGGAGGTGCTCAGGGGATCATATCCGGTGCTGGGGATGGAGCCAGGGCTGGTCAGATGCAAGACAAGCACCTAACGCCCTGGGCTGGGGATCAAGAGATAAAACAGTGGGTAATACACCCGCCTTGGACATGGTTGGCCCAGGCTGGGTCCCCAGCACCTGAGAGGGTCCTCTGAGCCCACCAGGATTGATCCCTGAGTGCAGAGCCGGGGTAAGCCCTGTGCACCACCAGGTGTGGCCTCTAAAATCAATAAAAAAAATAAAAAATAGCCCCTGTACTTTTCAAGTCTCCTCTGCCAGCATTTTTATAAGAGTTCTGATTTCTCTTCATCCTCGCCAACCTTTTTTATCCCCCCCCCCCTTTTGAAACATTTTAACTGTTCTGGTGAATGGGGAGAGATATCTCACTGTGGCTTTGATTTATATTTTGCCAATATAAAATGATGATCATTTTATTATATGTGTGTTGGCCATTTTAAATCTTCTTTGGAGAAATGTCTTAAGTCCTTTGTCCATTTTCAAGTTGCGGCTTTTGTCTTTTCGCTCTCGAGTTTGAGATGTCTTCATGCAGGCTGCATACCTGACCTTATCAGATGACTGTCTCGCTTGCTCGCTGCGTTGCCTTCTCTCTCTTGTAATGTCTTTTGAACACAAAAAGACTGAATTTGGATAAACTTTCAATTTCTCTAGTTTTTCCTTGGCTTTGTTTTTGCTGTCATGCCTAGGAATCCAAAGGAGGATTTGGGGTTTATGCGATATATATTCATAATGGTTATAAAATAATTTCTAAATTTAATAACAACAGAAAAATGCATGATTCAGAAAAAAATCAGAAATTGTAACAAAATGGTCTGGGTGGAAGTAGTTCTTATTTTCTTAAATTTGCCCTTGCTTACTGTTAGATTAAAATTAAAGACAGGATATGAATGAGACAATTAAAATAGATCAATACAGATACTAGTTTTAGTGGCTAGGGTAAGTTAATTAAAAAATATTTGAATAAAGTTAGGATAAATAGATTAAAGACCAAATAAGGGAAAGTGAAAATAAAATTTTAAAGTGATTCTAAGCAGGGCTAGGGTGATAGTACAGTGGCAGGGTGCTTGCCTGGCATGTGGCCAACCCAGGTTAGATCCCGGTTTACCCCATCCCCTGAGCCCTGCCAGGAGTGATTCCTGAGTGCAGAACCAGGAGTAAACCTTGAGCACTTCTTGGGTGTGACCCCGAAACAAAATTTTAAAAAACCCCAGCCAAACCAACTGCACTGTACTGCACTGTCCTCTCGTTGTTCATCGATTTGCCAACCAAAAAAGAAATAAATAAATAACCCACAGAAAACCAAAACTAAGACTAAATAAAGATCCAAGAAAGTTATTTTAGATAACAAGAGAAATTAAAAGTGCATACAATAAAATCCTCACGATGACAGCCAGGCTGATGCTTGAGATGACGGCAGAGCCTAGATATTTGTGTCTCGGACTGGAGAGGTAGCAAAGGGCTTCATGCAGTTGACCCGGTTTGATCTCCGACATCACACTTGGACCCCTCAGCATCGCCAGGTCTGCCACCACAAACCAGAAAATAAACATTTTTTTTAATCAAACTAATAAAGGAGAAACCCCCTTAAGCATTTACTGGGAGAAAAGCTGCCTTCTACCCCGCACAAAGAGGAGGAGGAGAGGGAGAGTAAAGGTGAGAGGCCCTGGGGTGGGTTTTCTTCCTGTCCCTCCTGTTGCTGTTGCCGCCCTGAGGACCCCAGTGGCGCCCTTGGTTGTGGTGCTTGTCGGGGGCTGTCACGAGCTTGTGGGGCACTGGCGACCCCGTGCTTTGTCATGACACCAGGGGTCACAAATAGCGGAGCTGTTGGGTCGCACCTCGCCTGTGGGCTGTGGCCGGGGATGGAACGCAGGGCCTCAGGCCTGCAAGACAGAGGCCCCATCCCTGAGCCCGTTCCCGGGCCCTCGCTTCACAGTGGTGTCCCCGGGTTCCTCCCCTCACTTCGCAGTGGCAAGCCGCTGCTGGGTCTTGGTTCTGTCAGTTCCGATCCTTGTCATCTTCTCTGCTTCCTGCTTTCACTCATGTCTCCTTTTCCCTGGTTGCTGAAGGACCCCAGGTGGTAACTCCTCACTGCCTGGACATGGCGCTGAGGCCCTTCCGGTGCAGGTGTGGTGACTGTTCACCTATCTAGTGACACAGGGAGAGGGAGAGGGAGTGGGAGGGGGAGGGGGAGGGAGAGGGCAGAGAGCTCAGTTGCTCCCTCCTCTTCGAAGACCGCTTAAGCCCCTTCTAAAGTTTGCATATTCTGGCCAGGTGTCCCATGATGAGTGTGGCATTCCAAAATGGATTTAAGATAAGAAAAGAAAACTAGAACGGATAAACGGCAAAGTCCTTTGAAGGAGGAAAAAAACTACAATGAAGGGAGTCAGAAAACTTGAAAGAATGCAAAGATAAAAACGATGGTTTTTCTGAGGGGAGGCTATGCCTTACATTCTGAGATTTAGAAATGTCTCTCCAGCATGGTGTGCTGGAGAGACAGCAGGAAGGCCACTAGTCTTGCATGTGGCCAGCCAGGGTTCGACTCCCCCATATGGTTCCCCGAGGGGTGATACCTGAGTGCCGGGCCAGGAGAAAGCCCCGAGCACTGCCAGTGTAGCCCCCAAATAAACACAAGGATATTTTAGTATGACACACAGGACATTATGAGCTAGAAAATGTAGATTATATAAAGATGTAAGTCCATGTACTTAGAGGGTGTGCCTGAAGATTGCTTAAAAATCAGGCCTGCAGAGGAAGACTTCTGATGGTCTCCCCTTCGCGTGACGTTGCTGGGGCTGTTCTGATGGATGCAGTGATGGGGACAGTGAGGACTGACTCCCCCCCGCAGACCTGCACTTGGGAGGTGGGTCTTATATTTTTAATTTATTTTTATTTATTTTTTTGCTTTTGGGGTCACACCCGGTGATGCACAGGGGTTACTCCTGACTCATGCACTCAGGAATTACTCCTGACGGTGCTCGGGGGACCCTGTGGGATGCTGGGAATCGAACCCGGGTCGGCCGCGTGTAAGGCAAAAACCCTCCCCGCTGTGCTCCAGCCCCAGTCTTATTTTCAGACATGAAGCAGACAAGGCCCTTGAGAGTAAACAGGGTTTCAGAGCCGCCTGCAGACCATTGATCAGGGGCGGAAAGTAGGGCTGACAGGACCCAGGCCCTCGGAAGTTGCTGATTGGATTTGGGAGTTCTTTAATTGTCCCCGTCTTACTCAATCTCGAGTGGCCAATCATCCATGGTGGCTGGGAGCCTTCTGTGGAGGACAGCCGCTGGTCGAGACAGCACAGCGGAATCTCCGGAAAAGCTGGAAAGACAGAAGCCGCGTTAGGGCCAGTTAAGTTCGTAGTTCTGAGTCCTGGGATTCCTTCCTCTGGCCATTCATTACTTGGAAAAAGTTGCTGTGCGCACAGTCCTCCCAGGTCAGACCAGATAGGACTATTCTACTTCCAGAGCGACAGGGTCCCTGTGGAGGATTTCCCTGAGCCCTTCATCCCTGGCTTTGCCTTGGGCGTGTTAAGGAGGCTGCACTGCTGTGGGTGTTAAGGGACACATAATTTGTAATTCCCGTTGGCAGGTCTGTGGTGGGATATTGTCCTCGGAGTTGGAATGCTGGATGGCAGGGTGATGCTCTGTGTAGCTGTGCGAGGAAACGCCGAACTTTCCCAGAGTGGCTGCTTTATTTTTTGTTCCTACCAGCAAGTGGTTTGGTTTTGGCACATCCCTGACAACATTCGTTTTCCCCCGGCCCCCTGACCTTGACTGTTGCTATCCAGGTCTGGTGCCAGTAGTTTGTCACGTGTTGTTCATATGTTTCCCTCCTAATAAATGATGTCCGTCATTTGTCTGACCTTCAGAGAGGAATGTCCATCTAAATCCTTTCTCCATTTTTAGTTTGATTTCTGGATGGTTGCCACAAATCAGGTTCAGGCCTCATGTACTCTCCTCTGCTTTTGGGTTTTTTGGGTGTGTGTGTGTGTGTGTGTGTGTGTGTGTGTGTGTGTGTGTGTGATTTTTTTGTTTTGTTTTGTGCTTAAACATCTTAAAAAGAAAACAAAGTGATTCCTGAGCACAGAGCCAGGAGTAGACCCTGAGCACAACTGGGTGTGGCCCCCAAACAATGAACTACTTTATTATGGCTTTTTCTACTCTGGAGAAATTCGTGTTCTCTTGAACTAACTTTCTCTCTCTCTCTTTCTCTCTCTCTCCCCCCCTTCATCTCTCCCTCTCACAATTTCTCCTCTCTCTCGCTCCCTCCCTCATCTCTAAATTTTTTTTTCAATAAAAACTTTTTGTCTCACTAAGGATTTTGTTCCTAATTTTTAGTTGCTCCTAATTTTTAGTTGCTGTGTGCTTTTTAAAACTCGGCTCATCTGGAATTCATTTGGGACTTAAGTCCACGCTTGTTCTTTTGAACTGCTGTCACGCAGCTGTACCTTGGTTGGTTTTTCATCTCTCAGGAGTTTCAGGTTATTGTCAGAATTCCTGGAATACTTCTGTGTAAAGGGCTTCTCTGTCCTCCTTCTGGCCGTGTTCTCTCTGTGCTTGGCGGCGGTGATGGTAGCGGAGGGGAGTCTTTGGTTCTCTCGTTTTCTTGGCCCTTAGCTCTGCGCCATTCCAAGGGACTCGGCATTTCACAGGCCTCTGCTGGGCTGTCTAGTTGCTGTGGCTGATGCGCAGCTGAGCTTTCGTGACCCGTCAGGACCAGCTTTTCAGCGGCCGGTTCTGTCAAATGTAGGGTTTGCTTCCCTCAATGAAGGTGGCTCCAGGCTCGCTGGCTGGAATGAAGTGAACATATTCTGTCACGGTCTGAGTCTAGTGAGTGTCGCTTCTCTTCTGTTTCTTATAAACTTGATCAAGGAGAAGAAGCTTCTAGAGGAATATTGAGTATTTAAAAAAAGAAATAGGTATTTGGTTGCTGGATGTGTGGGCACACGTCACATCTTTCTTGGGGCATCACCTCTGCAAGTTTCTCTCCTGTATTTAGTATTCACCGAAGTGTAGACATTCAGTTCTGAGTTTTCAGGTGGGTAAGGCAAAGGAAATAATGGTCGCCAGAGAAATGCTGGTGAGAAATCTCCAAGAATGTCATCTGTTGCCTCTTCTGATCGCAGTTAGCGTCAGGGCAACCTCTCCCTATTTCTGTTGAATGCATTGCTTTTTAATAAATGAGTGAAAAGAATCTGACCCCAGAGATAAAAAGAAGGTTTCTGTTCTGCCATCAGGAATCCACTTAAACAACAATCTGAACCACTTGAAGTTCGACCTGGATCACCCTCGGCTCTCTTCTGTGAACCAGACAGCCGCCAAGCAGGGGAAGGCAGACGTGCCCCCTGCCCGGGCAGGCAGCAGCAAGATTGTCCTGCTGGTGTGCAACCGAGCCTGCAGCGGGCAGCAGGGCAAGAGGTAAGGCCAGCTGCTCGCCCGCCAGTGCCCTGGCTTTCATGTCGCTCTTTGTAAGTGGCCTTGAAAAATAGGGGTGCCAGGTCCTTATTCCCAGCAGTTAACTTCGGGTCTGATATTTGGGGGTGGGGACTTACAGACCCGGGGACGTGTTTAGAGGCATCGGGGGACAGCCCCCAGCATCTTCCCCAGGGAAGAACCCTCCATGGGGTCTTGATGTCTCAGAACTGACGCTCCCCGCCTCGCTTGTCCTACTGCTCCCCCCCATTTGGAAAAAAAGTCACTCTGTGACCCCCCCTGAATCCCCCCTCTTCCAAGTTTAGCTCCTTTAAGCAAACAGGAAGTGTATCACTGGGGATGGCGGCATCCACTCGGGAAGGATGAGGGGCGGGAGGGGCTTCCAGGGTTGGGGGTGCTGCCGGCACAGACTCAGCTCTGAGCAGGGCCCCCTGGGCATGGAGAGCTCCGAGGGGCCGGTCGGGTCAGCAGCAGGTGGGGCTGTGGTCTTGCCCACTAGAGCCACTTGGCTGCAGAGCCCTATAAAGCAGCTCTCAGTGCTCAGGCCACTGAGCAGGCATCCGGAGTACCAGCTGAGAACGAGGGTACTTCCCGCCACAGAACCTCCACCTCCTGCCGTCCCGGCACTCACGCCCGCCGGCCCCTGCTGCCACTCCTTCCCCATTGCTGTCCCGCCAGGAGGAGGCTGCCTGCCCGCCCTCCCGTGCTCTCTTTCTGTTCCCCCGGCACTCGCCCCTCACCCGCATGACCCAGCTGAATGCCGGTCAGAGGGGCCACTTCCCCAGATCCCCCCGTCCCTGGTGCCCTGGTCACCACCCTGTGCCGGTGTCAGGCTTTCCAGGAAGGCCGTCTGGTGTCCGAGCCTTGCAGTCCCACCCAGAAACCCCAGGCCGCTCTGTTGACGCCGCAGTAGCCTCCGCTCCCCACAGTCGCTCTCGAAGTCCCAGTTTCATCCCAAGTGCCAGCTCCCCCCTCTCCTACTCCCCGCCCCCGTCTGGGGAGTTGGGGAGTCGGGGCGTTGCCGTCCTGCCACTGCGGTGTGCCTGTGTCGTAGGTTCGGGCTGCCCTTTGTGCTGCACCTGGAGAAGACCATCGCCTGGGACCTGCTGCAGAAGGAGATCCTGGAGAAGATGAAGTACTTCCTGCGGCCCACCGTCTGCATTCAGGTGGGGGGTGTTCCGGCTCCACATGCTGCGGGTAGACGGGCCCATCACCCTGCCCCGCCCTCTGGATCCCCGGGGAGGCCCTGCTCGGCACTGTCCCGCGAAGCCGTCGAGTGTCGAGGAGCGCCTGTGTCTCAGACCCCCAGGAGGCTCCCCCTTGGCCCCTCCGGCCCCCACCCCTGCCTCCCATGTGATCCGCCCAGGGAGGTGCATCCAGGGGGGCAGTGAGCCTGAGTTCAAGATCCCCGCTCTGGGAAGAGGCTGTTTAGCTACGTGCTCAGGCTCGTGGGAAGCGTGTCCAGCCGTGCTGTAGCCTGCAGACCCTCTGCTGCGTGGGGTTGCGCGTGGCCGTGCCCTTCCGGACAGACGCAGCCCGGCCCTCCTCCCCCATCCACGCAGGTGTGCCCCTTCAGCCTGCGCGTGGTCAGCGTGGTGGGAATCACGTACCTGCTGCCGCAGGAGGAGCAGCCCCTGTGCCACCCGACAGTGGAAAGGTAAAAAAATACGTGGATTTTTAAAAATATATATATTTATATTTTATAGATATGTCAGGGTCACAAGGTACAGGAGTAGACTCAGGCCCCAGGCCGGCTGCCATCTGGTCGCTGTGTCTGGGAAACTGGACAGAATCGCCCACTGTCTTCAGGCACGCCAGAGTGACCAGGCAGCCTTCCAGAGGGTTCTGTCCCCTCTGAGGACATTTGTTCTCTGGGTAGGACATTTGGGTTAAGAGTCTGTCAGTCTGATTATTAAGTGCTGCACAGTGACTCGTGTTAGTCATGTCAGTTACAGTGCAGGAAGGTGGGCACTGCCGGAAGCCGCCCGGAGGGCAGTGATGTGGGTTCAAGGCCACCAGGTTTCTGCTTCAGGCAGGACACGGTGGTATTGAAGGCAGAACAGAGACTAATCCGTGACTTCCCTCCCCGCTTCACAGGGCATTAAAATCCTGCGGACCGGGTGGCAGTGCGCATGTGAAGTTGGTGGTGGAATGGGACAAGGAGACAAAAGATTTGTGAGTACCTGATGCGTGCTGGCGAGGCGCTGCTTTGATTCTCTTTAGTCGTGTATCCTTCTGTCTTCTTTCTCTCTCTTCTGGTCGTGTCCCTTTGATCTTCCCAGCTAGCCGAAATAGCGGTCTCCCTTCTCTCAACTAAATAATCAGGTGTGTAGCCACGCATCCTCCACTTAAACAGTTCCTTTCCTGTGCACTGTGGGGCAGCCCTGAGACCCCAGAATAGTCACTGGCTGCCGTGGTTGACGGAGTGGAGCTGTGCTGGCTTTGATTTTTGTCCCAAGCCCACCAGCCCCCAGAAAGCTGTCTGGACAGACATATGCCCGTAGGTAACGGGATGGTGGGGCTTAACTGGCGTGCCTGTGCCAGCTTCCGAGACACCTGCTCCTTCTATCTTTCCTTGAGAGCGTCTGAAGAAGAGTTTGGGTTGGGAAAGGTTGGCCAACACTGTCGTCTCATGTTTGCCATCGCTGGTAGACTCATAGCTTGCCTCCTGGAGACTTTGGCGTCCATGTGACCCCCTCATTCTGATCAGTGCTCGCTTTCCCCGCCCCAGCTTGTTCGCGAGCACCGAGGAGGAGTACATCCCCGATGCTGAGAGCGTGCGTCTGCAGAAGGAACGCCACCACCAGCCGCAGACCTGCACCCTGTCCCAGTGCTTCCAGCTCTACACCAAGGAGGAGCGGGTAGGTGGCTGGGGATGCGGGGTGAAGGGGGGAGGAGGAGAGGGGGCCAGGGCATGGTTGAGGGGCGGTCGGGTGTTTGCAAGCAAAGTGAGCCCTGGTGAGCTCCCACGAGTCTTGGCGTCTTCATTAATGTTCTGTGTACTCAGTAATGAGCAGCTTAGTGAAGATATTTTATAAATTAAAAAAAATTCATTTAAAATTCTAGAAAAACTGGATTGAGGAAGAAATGAACTCCTGCGGTTGTTTATTTCCTTTGGTGTTTTGGGACTACACCTGACAATGCTCAGGGCTTACTCCTGACTCTGCGCTCAGGAATTATTCCTGATGGTGCTCGGAGGACCGTATGGTATACTAGGGACCAAACCCAAGTCAGCTGAGTGCAGGGCAAGCGTCCTCCCTACTATACTAGCTCTCAAGCTCCATGGTTAATTATTTCTAACAGTTAACGGGACTCTTCTAATTAGAAAATTTTAATAATTTCTCTTAGTAGCTAGAACAGTGATTGCCAGGTATTGGTGCTAAGGGTCTAGGTCCTAGAAACCCTTGGACTTAATGAAAATCAATGAAGAATCAGTGTCTCAGTTGCGTTAGGCAGGTTTTGGGTAACCGCCCTGTGCATGATTTGTGGTTCTTGCCTGCACAGTGCTGCCGATACAGAAATTCTCTCAGGCCATCTGCTTCACACGCGGCAGCAGGCAGTAGGACCTAGGATATAATTGAGCAGATAGATGAGTAAGTTCTGGCTTCCAGTCCTGTGTGGCTTGAGATTTCTCCAGTTGGGTCTGGAGAGATAGTGCAAGGGTGAAGGCTTTTGCCTTCCATGCAGCAGAGCCGGGTTTGATCCTCATCACTACATGGTTCTTAGTGCCCCGCCAGGAGAAGTCCCTAAGCACTGAGCCAGGAGGAAGCCCGGAGAGCGTGTGTGCGTGCGCGCGTGTGTGTGTGCCAGGAGGAAGAAGCCCTGAGCATGTGTGTATGTGTGTGGTGCCAGGAGGAAACCCTGAGCTTGCGTGCGAGTTTGTGTGTGACCCAGCACCTCTTGTATGTGAATCCTTTGCTCTGTCTCTGACCTGTGGCCTCACCTGGCACCTCTTCAGTTTCAGATTTCTGGAGGCCACTTCATTCTGAATCAACTGACGTGTAGGGTCATAGTTTTAACCGCTCACTTGTGTTCAGGGAATAATGCCATTCTGTGGCTGGAGGGGACCGTTCATGTCCCATCTTTCCCGATGGCTTAGCGCCTGTACCGTATTGGGGTGAGGTGGTGATAGACCTGAGAGGAGGGAGGGGCAGCGGGGGTCGGGGGGAGAATAGTGTCCTCGGCAGAGGCAGGGAGCAGGAAGAAGATGGGAAGGTTTGAGGATTTGGGGGAACCTCCATGTGCTGGCTCTGGGGGTGCTGGCGAGTGACCCCCCAGGAGAGGCAGAGGGGTCATGCGGTAGCTGCTTTTCTGCGTGCATTGTGCCTCTCCTTGTTCCTTTCTGGGCATGTGGGTGTCAGCCCCTGCCGGGAGCCGCTCTCACTGTGTCTTTTTTTTTTTTCCTTCTTTTTGGGTCACACCCGGCGATGCACAGGGGTTACTCCTGGCTCTGCACTCAGGAATTACTCCTGGTGGTGCTCGGGGGACCCTATGGGATGCTGGGAATCGAACCCGGGTTGGCCGTGGGCAAGGCAAACGCCCTACCCGCTGTGCTATCTCTCCAGCCTGTCACCGTGTCTTTCTGTGGGCTTCTGCCATGCCATGTCCGCTGGCCTCTGGGAACAGGCCTCCCATGCCAGTGGGCCAGGATTCAGTCCCCAGCACCAGGTGGCTGTCCTGAGCACCACGGGCTGGAGCTCCAGAGGCCCCCAGCACCAGTGTCTCCGCTGCCCTGGGTTCTCGGCCCTGGCCCGGGCCTGCCAGCCTGGTGGGCGAGTCCTGCTGGGAGTGGGCCGAGGCCTCGGGAGCTCCGCGTGGGACCTCCTGCCTCGGGAAACTGAGGTCTTAGCCTGAGTGACGCTGAGCGGAAGCATGCCCGTGTTTCAGCTCGCCCCGGATGACGCCTGGCGCTGCCCACACTGCAAGCAACTGCAGCAGGGCAGCATCACCCTGAGCCTCTGGACGCTGCCCGATGTACTCATCATCCACCTGAAGCGCTTCCGACAGGTCAGGATGCCCTGGGGGGAATGGCGTGGCGGTGGGTGCGCTGGGGGGGGACCCTGCTGGCTGGACGAGTCTCCCGTGTCAGGGCCCGTCTACCTCTGCCCCGTGTGCCCAGTGAGGTCTTGTCCTTGCGCTTCCTGGGGCCTTTTGGCCCCTCCATGTTTCAGTTCTTAGCCCAGAAGCTGGACTTGGTTCTTGGGATTTGCTGTGGTAGGAAAATGCCTTCAGATGTTGGTGTGTGTGCTTGGGAACCGGGAAGGGAAATTAGGACTTTGGGGGGGGGGGGGGTGACGTCCCTTGAGGTGTGTTGTGTTGGGTGTGGAGGGGGATAGCTGAGTCGGAAATACAAAGACAAACTCCTTCCAGTCATGCTTCTGGAAAGGCTGTGGCTTCCCGGCCTGACACGAGGGCCAGCGCTGTCCCTTGCAGCCCTGGTGTCAGGTGGGCCAGTGAGAGCCCCCGGGCTCCCCCTGGGCTCCGCGTGCAGGTGTGTGCAGGTGTCTGTGTAGACCCGGGAGTCGGGGTTAGGGGGAGTGGGTGGGCAGTGCCCGGGGACAGGCTTCTGTGGGGCCCCAGCCCGCCCCAGTGGCTCTGGAGCTGTGAAGGGCCTGGAGTCACGGCAGTGTTTGCGCAGGCAGTGCTGTCACTGTCACCTGCAACTCGTGGTGTGTGCCGGCAGCTGTGCGGTGGTGTCTGCGGCCAGCCAGGGGTCACCCCTGAGCTTCGCCGGGTGTGGCCCCCAAACAGAAACCTTGTGATGGGCTTGGTGGCCGGGGCCGGGCCAGAAGCGGCTCAGTGAGGGCTTTGTGCTCCGGGCCAGGGCTGTGTGCTGTCTTCGTCTGTGTGTACTCAGCTGGGGGAAAGAAGGGGAACGGCGAGACTCCGACAGTTCCTCCCTCACCGGGTCCCGGTGCAGGGACGGGACGTGAAGGCCCGTTCCTGCAGGTGGTTCCCGCCCTTGAGTCAGTGTCTTGGGCACTTGCGTTAAGGCAACACCAGCCACTCTAGCCGAGGGGGCCCCACCTTACTCAGATGGGCCATCGGCTAGCATGAAAATGTCCTCGTCGTTTGTCTTCTCGCGGCAGGAAGGAGACCGGCGACTGAAACTCCAGAACATGGTCAAGTTCCCCCTGACCGGCCTGGACATGACCCCTCACGTGGTCAAGAGGAGCCAGAGCAGCTGGAGCCTGCCCTCACACTGGTCTCCGTGGAGACGGCCCTACGGCCTCGGCAGGGACCCCGAGGACTGCGTCTATGACCTGTATGCTGTGTGCAATCACCACGGCACCATGCAAGGGGGGCACTACACAGGTCTGCAGCGCGCGGGGCCGCGTGTGTGCTGACTGCCGTGCTAGGGGCAGGCTGCTAGGCGCTTCCTTCCTCCGCCCGGCCGGCTGCCAGGGTGGGCCTTACCCCTGCGCCTCTGGCCAGGAGTGGAGAATGGAGAATTCTGGCCCCCCCTCCCCCTTTTCCTGCCTCAGGTCACTGTGTGGTTGTCGAACTGGGGTGGGGGGTGGTTTATGCTGCATTCTTTGCCCACTTCCTGCACCCCCTATATTTCAGGGCCTGCTCCCCACTCTGGGAAAAGGAGTCGCTTTTTCAGTGCACCTCCAAAGTGTGACTGGAAAGCGCTTTTTCTTAAAAAAATTTATTTTAATGAATCACTGTGAGATACACTTAGACTTGCAAACTTTTATGATTACGTTTCAGTCATACAATGTTTGAGTACCCATCCTTTCACCAGTGCCCATTCTCCACCATCAATGTTCCCAGTATCTCTCCCACCACCCCCACCTACCGCTCCCCACACCCTGCCTCTGTGGCAGGCACATTCCCTCTTATCTCTTTCTCCTTTGGGGTGTTAATGTTTGCAATATTGTACCAAGCTTGTACCAAGTGGCCATCATGTTTGGTCCATAGTCTACTTTCAGCACGCATCTCCCATCCTGGCTTGGAAGCGGTTCTCATGTGCTGGGGGAAAAGGCAGCTGGGGTAGAGAAGGAACCTCTAAGTAACTGAAGGGCTTTTCTTTTTTGTATAAAGGTTAACTTGGCCTTTTCATTTGTAAAAGTGCCTCTTTCAGAGGCTCTGCTGTCTCTCCTGTCCTCCACTTTAGTCTTTGCCTGTCACTTTCTGCATGCTTACCTCTTCTGCCCGTCTTGAGGATGTTCGTGGTTATTGGAGAGACCCGTGGATTGTGTGCCTTCTTGCTCGGACTTCAGTTTGGGAGCGGGTGTCTGGGTGTTGGTTGCTTGTCTCGTCTTCCGGTGAATGGCACCAGCTTGGTTTCTGTAGGCTTCCTCCGAGCAGGTCCATGGACTGCCTCCCATCAGCAAGATCCCGGGCTGCTGGGGTCTCCTTGATGCACGCCCCCATCTTTATTGAGGATCTGTGATTAATGTACTGTTAACCACACTTTCATGTGTGCATTGTCCCGATATCACACCCACCCCCAGTGTCCCCTTCCCTTCACTAATGTCCCAGCGACCCATCTCCACACCCCCAACACAGTCAACTTAGGTTTTCTTTCCTGTTTTTTTTTAACTTCAGTGACTATTTTTTATTTTATTTTATTTCTATTTAAATTTTTTTTCTTAAGGTGCTGTGATTTACAAAGTCATACATAGTTGAGTTTCAGGTGTTTGGTGTCTAGTGCTGATCCTGCCTCCCATGTCAGTTTCCCTCTAACACAAACACACACACATACACATGCACAGAGGCCTCTCTGACAGGCACATTTTTAAGTGTGGTGGTTGTAGTTTGGGTGCCTCCTCTCTGTGTTGTTGCTGTGCTTTCGACACACTCATATACTTCACCGCTCCACCACCCCAGACCCCTGCCCTTGTCTATCCCACCTGCCTCTTATTACTTCCATCCGTGGTTTCTCTCCTTTCTTGTCCTTCTTCCTGTACTGTAGGGTCACGGATGCTCTAGGTGTATCCTCTTTAATAACCTTGTACTCTCTGGACTTGTTATTCTGGGTACCACAGATACGTGAGGTTATGCTGTGTTTGTCCTTTTTCTTACTTCACATAAATAGTCTCTGGTTCAGTTCCATACTAGTTGCAGTGAAATGCATGAGCTCAGTATTTTTGCAGCTGCATTGTGTTCACCCCGTGCCTTCAAAATCCACCCTTCTGCCGTTGGACGCCTTGCAGATTCCATAGCTCAGGTGTTGTGCTGCAATGAATAATGGTGTACACGTGCCCTTGTGAATGGACATTTTTCTGTCCTGGGCTAGATACCCAGAAGTTGACTCGCTGGGTCGTATGGCAGCTCAGTTCTTACTTTTTTGAGAAATCTCCATACCAGGTTGAATGAGATGTATTCCTACCAGCAGTGGGTTGAGAGTTCCTACATCCCCACCAACATAGATTGTTCTCAGTTTTTTGGATGTGTGTCATTCTTACTGTGTGAGATGGCGTCTCATTGTCATCTTGATTTGCATTTCCCTGATTGTAAGAGATGATGGGCACTTCTTCTTGTGTCTCTTAGCTTTTGTCTTCTTCAGAAGTTTCTGCTCATTTTCTCTCTCCATTTTTTGATAGGGTTTTGATTATTGTTGAACTCAGTGAGTACTTTATGTAGTGTGGTTATCAACCCTGTAGTTGGTGTGTTGGATGCGAATATTTTCTCCCATTAAGTTGGATATCCCATACTTTTAGCTTATGTGTCTTTTCCTCCTTTTATCTGGTCTTTATTTTTTGTTTTTTGTTTTTGGAGTGATAGCACAACAGGTAGGGCCTTGCACACAGCCAACATGGCCGAGCCGAGTTCGATTCCTCCGCCCCTCTTGGAGATCCTGGCAAGCTACTGAGAGTATCTCGCCCGCACGGCAAAGCCTGGCAAACTACCCAAGAAGTATTCGATATGTCAAACACAGTAACAAGTTTCACAATGTTACTGGGCCCGCTCGAGCAAATCGATGAACAACGGGAGGGTAGTGATAGTGATAGTTTTTTGTTTTGACCACACTGGGCAATGCTCAAGGCTTCCTGGCTCTGCGCTCAGTTAGATTAACTCTTGGCGGTGCTCAGGGGACTGTATGGAATGCTGGCGATTGAACCCCAGTCAGTTGCGTGCAAGGCAAATGTCCTATCCACCCTACTGTCTCTCCAACCCCAGCCCATGTTTCTTTTACCATGCAGAAACTCTTTGATTTAATATAGTCTCATTTTTATATATTTTATTCAGTTGCCTTTGTGAATGGAATCATACCATTGAAAACACCAAGGTCTGAGTCATGAAGTATTCTGCCTATATTTTCCAGAGTGTACCTTAGGGATTCTGGTCTGATCTCAGTCTTTGATCCACTTTGAATTGACTTTTGTGTAAGGTATGAGATATGGATCTAGCTTTATTTTTTTTAACGTCTGGTTACCCAGTTTTCCCAGTGCCATTTGTTGAAGAGATGTCTTCACTTCAATGCACCCAACTCCTTTGTTGAAAATTAGTTAACCATAGATCTTTGGGGTTGCCTTTGGGTACTCAGTTCTAACCCCTTGATCAGAGAGTCTGCCCTTATTCCAGTGCTGTGCTGTTTTGATCACTATAGCTTTACGATGTAGTTTGAAGTTAGGTAGTGCAGTACCTCTCACTTTCCTGTTTCTCAACATAGCTTTGGCAATTTGGGGTGTTTTATGGTACCAAACAATTACTGATGGTTCTAAGTCCTTGACGAATGCCATCTGAATTTGGATAGGGATACGTTGAACCTGTTTATATAATTTAGGAAAGACAGTCACTTTGATATTGTGAATTCCAGGAACATGGAATATTTTTCCATTTCCTAAGGCCTTCTCTTTGTCTTAAGTGACATAAAATTTTCATAATGTTAACTCCTGCCTCTTTTTGTTAAGTTGATTCCTAGATGCTTGATGATTGTGTACACTATTTTGAATGGGATAGACTCTTGGGTTGCTTTCTCTTCAGATTCATTGTTTGCATATAGGAGTACAACAAGATTTTGTGTTTGGCTTTGCAGCTGGCCACTTTGCTGTATTCATTGTTTCTAGGAGCTTTTAGTGGACTCCTTAGGCTCTTCCATATATATTTTCGTGACATCCGAAGTTAGTGATAATTTGACTTCTTTCCCAATTTGAACTCCTTTCATTTTTTTTTTTCCTAGTCTGATTGCTGTAGCAAGGACTTCTAATATTGTACTAAATAGAAGTGGAGACTGTGTACATCCTTGCCTGGGACTAATCTTAGAGGGAGTACTTTCAGGTCCTCGCCAACAATGAAACTCTCCGAGGGCTTGTTATAGATGGTTTTGACTGTCCTGAGAAAGGTTCTTTGCACTCCTGTTTTGTTGAGGGTTTTTATCATGAGTGATTTTGCATCTGTTTTTCTTTTTCTTTTTGGGTCACTCCCAGTGATACTCAGGGGTTACTCCTGGCTCTGCACTCAGGAATTACTCCTGGTGGTGCTCAGGGGACCATATGGGACGCTGGGGATCAAACCCGGGTCTGCCACAAGCAAGGCAAATGCTCTACCCACTGTACTATCACTCCAGCCCCCTGATTTTGCATCTTGTCAGTAGTTTCCTCTTCACTGATGGATATGATTATATGATTTTAGTCTTTCCATGTATTTATGTGGTAGACTTGATTTGTATATGTTAAACTACCCGGGCATTCCAGGAATGTGTCTCACCTGGTTATGGTGTTGTTTTTTTTTTTTTTTAATAGGATTTTGTTTTTGGTGTGCTAAGATGTTGAGGATTTTTGTGTCTGTGGACATCAGGGAATTTTTTTTTTCCTTTTTGGGTCACACCTGGTGGTGCACAGGGGTTACTCCTGGTTTTGCACTCAGGAATTACCCCTTGCAGAGCTCAGGGGACCATATGGGATGCTGGGAATCAAACCTGGGTCGGCCGCGTGCAAGGCAAATGCCCTACCCCCTGTGCTATCGCTCCAGCCCCTGAAATTTTCTTTCTTAGTAGTGCCTCTGTCTGCTTTTTATGTCTTGGGTCTCCATCCTGACAAGAGTGAGTGGCACTGTGTTCTCGGGATCTCTCGCCTCATGTTCCCTGCCCCTCTGGTCATCCAGAGTCTGTTCCAGCAGTCAGCGAAGGGCTCTGATGTTGTCTGCCCTCTGTAAGGGAGTGTTTCTAGAAAGGACGATAAGACTGTGCTGTCCTGGGTTCAGTTTATCTTGTCCCACAGGGCTGGTGGCCTCTGGCACAGATTCTTGTCTGTGCTCAAGGCGCTCTTTCCCTCTCAGCCTTCACTATGTTCTCAGTGTCCAGGGGCCTTCCTGGGGGGCTTCCCAGGGGCAGTGCACATGCCGGGTCTCGAGCAGCCTGAATGGAGCCAGGCCTTGCCCTTCAAAACACTGACCCTGGGCCAGCCGCTTCATCTCTCTGAGCCCCTGTGAGACAGGGATCATGATAGATGCAATCCCAGGATTAAATCAGATGCTTGGCCACACATGTGCACACCGATCCTGGCTGCCACTGGTGTGGAAACCATTGTTTTCTGGTTCTGTGATTTCCTGTCTGCCAGATGCGTTGGGACATGCTTCAGCCAGGGTTTCTGAACACAGCACTGTTAGGTGGCAGGATCACCGGGATGGGGGCTCTCCCGTGCATGCCTGGAGTCTGTGTCCCCTCATCACGCTGAGGATCAGAAATGTTTCCAGTCCTGGCCAGCTGCCCACGGGCTCACATCACACCCAGTTGAGACCCTCCCATTCCCTGCCCCCCGAGTAGATGGGCTAGCTGTGCTTCCTAAGGTTAACTTGCATTTCATCCATCAGAGCTAGTTGAGAATTTCCTGAAACACTGTGCCCGTGTCTTTTGGAAGCCAGACCCTTCCTCCTTCCCCCAGACCCCCCCCCCCCCCTTCGTCTTACTACACGCCCCTTAAGCTCCTGGCTTAGTCCTGGGAGCATGCGTGGTGGTGTCTTGATGGGCAGGGGCAGCTGGCCGAGTGCCCGCCACTCACTCTGTCCCCCCCCACCCCCACCCCCACAGCCTACTGCAAAAACTCAGTGGACGGGCTGTGGTACTGCTTCGATGACAGCGACGTGCAGCAGCTCTCGGAGGATGAGGTGTGCACGCAGACAGCATACATCCTCTTTTACCAGCGGCGCACGGCAATCCCGTCCTGGTCGGCCAACAGCTCCGTGGCGGGTAAGGGCCACTCTGCTCTGGGGAGCTCCGGGGCCAGCGGCTGTGAGGGATGGCTGGGGATGCCGGGTAGTTGGATCTGATCAATCCCCACCTTTGTCTTCTCTCCAGGAGTCAGAGTTTGCTGCGGTCAGGGAAATTGGGAAGTGGGGGGCAGGGGTGTGCAAGTGTGAGGCTGCGTGTGCTGGTTGCCCACGGACGGAATGGACGAGTGAGTGCAGTGGGTGCAGGGGTGTGGGGTATGGACACAGGATGGAGATTGGGCTGCCACATTTGGTGGGCTGACCCGAGCGTGTCCCTGGGGAGCGCAGCTGTGGCTTGGGTGGAGTGAGCCCCTCCCCTTCCGGGTGGGAGTTCGCTCCTCGATGTCTTCCCTAAAGGGTAAAGACATGCTTTGGGGGGGGCTGGAGTGATAACACAGTGGGTAGGGCATATGCCTTGCATGCGACTGACCTGGTTCGATTCCCAGCATCCCATATGGTCCCCCAAGCACTGCCAGGAGTAATTCCTGAGTGCATGAGCCACGAGTAACTCCTGTGCATCACCAGGTGTGACCCAAAAAGCAAAAAAAAGAAACGTGCTGTGGGGGGACGACAGGGGGTCTGCTGTGTGTGGGAAATGTTAGAGCTGGTGTCCATCCTTGGTGGGGAGAGCCACATGTGCCAGACAAGGACGTGCGTGCTTCTCAGGGCCAACTTTTGGTAACCTGGGATTAGATTGGGGTGTTTTTCCCTGCCTTTGGGCCTCGCAGTCCAGGAAGTTTTGGACCCCACCAGCAGTTCTCATCACCTGGGTTCAGCGATGCCACGATGCCCCTGCCAGAATCACCCCAGTAGTGCTGGGGGTCTCTGGAGTCGCTCCCGGCGAGCCTGGAGAACCACGAGGTGCCTGGAGCTTGAACCTGGGTGGGGTACAGGTCTAGCCTGGCCCCTTGGCTGCTGTCTTGTCTCCCCGGCCAGCGAAGGCGGTATTCACCCCTGCTCCCCTCGGAGTCTGCAAGGGGGCTATTTGGCAGCACCTTGCGGAGTCACTCCTGGGAGCCGCAGCCCAGCCTGGAGTGGGCGGCCTCTGCCTGGAGCTCCCCTAAGGTGGGTCCTCCAGCCTCCCTAAGTGGGTCCTCCAGCCCTCTTACCTAAGGTGGGTCCTCCAGCCTCCCTAAGTGGACCCTCCAGCCCTCCTACCTTGCCTCGCTGCTTCCCAGAGCCCAGCTAGGCCCGGAGGGGCCCCTCCTGGACAGAGCTCCCTAGGGGCCGCTTATCTGCAGGACCTGCCTTTGATCCCTGTCACACACGTGGAATCTCACTTCGGGCTGGTTCCATCCCTGGCAGCTCATGGTCCTCTGGTGTCCCACCCTGCCGAGGAATCCCACTGTTTGAGGCCGCCTTGAGCCTTGACCGCCGCTTCACGCCGTCAGACCTCAGGGAAAAGGAGCAGAGCGTGTGTGTGTGTGTGTGTGTGTGTGTATCTGTGTGTGTGTCTTAAGAGAAGAGCTGCCCTGGAAGAGGAGCAGTGTGTGTGTGTGTGTGTGTGTGTGTGTGTGTGTGTGTATGTATCTGAGTATCTGTGTGTATCTGTGTGTATCTGTGTGTGTCTTAAGAGAAGAGCCGCCCTGGAAGAGGAGCAGTGTGTGTGTGTGCGTGTGTGTATCTGTGTGTAGAGCAGTGTGTGTGTGTGTGTGCGTGTGTGTGTCTTTGTGTATCTGTGTGTGTGTCTTAAGAGCTGCCCTGGAAGAGGAGCAGTGTGTGTGTGTGCGTGTGTGTGTATCTGTGTGTAGAGCAGTGTGTGTGTGTGTGTGCGTGTGTGTGTATCTTTGTGTATCTGTGTGTGTGTCTTAAGAGCTGCCCTGGAAGAGGAGCAGTGTGTGTGTGTGTGTGTGTGTTTGTCTGTCTGTCTGTCTGTCTGTCTGTGTCTAAGAAGAGCCGCCCAAGAAGAGGAGCAGTGCTGTGTGTGTGTGTGTGTGCGTGTGTGTGTGTCAGAATGCCTTGTGGCATGGAGGCACCCCCAGTGAGTGTGTGAGTGAGCTTGTGGCCCGGAGTCACCTCTGTTGCTCTGGCTTCGGACTTGTATTTGGCGTCGGGACATGGAAACTGCGGTACCCGCCCTGACCTGGCGTGGCGTGGGCCCATGGGAGGGTGGGTGTGGATAGCAGGTGTGGGGCGGGGCTGGGGGCGCGGGTTCCGGTCTGGCCTCACTCCAGCGCCCGCTCCCCTCTCTGCAGGCTCCACGAGCTCCTCCCTGTGTGAGCACTGGGTGAGCCGGCTCCCGGGCAGCAAGCAGGCTAGCGTGACCTCTGCCGCCTCGTCCCGGCGCACCTCCCTGGCCTCGCTCTCCGAGTCGGTGGAGATGACGGGGGAGAGGAGCGAAGATGACGGTGTGTACCCTTGGGTGCTCTGAGGGTGGGTCCCAGGCAGCAGCGGGTGTGTCCAGGACGTTCCCCCCAGCAGGGGCTTTCCCCATCCCAAGACCAGGCTGCGTGCTGGGCTCTAGGCATGGTCATCAGGACGCCTCCTTTCCCTTTCCAATTGCGGGGCTGAAAAGGACACAGTTGTGAGGTTGTGGCCAGCGCGGGGCAGCTGGTGAGGAGTTTGCTGGGCCGGCCCGGCCGGGGGATGTCTCCCAGCTCTCAGTGCGGCCCCTCCCGCACACCCTTTTCCCTGGCGTGCTCCCTTCTCTCCCCTGTGGGCACCCCACTGCCTCTGCATTAGGGGCTGCGAAACGCCAGGTTCTGAGGTTCTGAGGAAGCCCCAGCCCCATGCACTGACCTTGTCCCAGCTGAACCCGGGGGTGCACAGCCCCATTTCTCTGGTCTTTGATGGGGTAAGGCAGCTGGAGGGTGAGGAGGAGTGGCCGAAGGGACAGGAGGAACGTGAGCCCCGCCTCAGCCTCTGGGAGAGCTGCTCTGGGCTGCAGGGCGCCTGGGGCTGCTTCTCGGATGGACGAGGGCCGCCAGAGAGCAGTGCCAGCCCTGCTGTGGGCATCCCGGTGCCCGCCTGCCTGCTCCCGGCGTTCTGTGTGAAGCCGCCCCAGGCCCTGGCTTGTGCAGCCCAGACTGCACAACTGGGCCTCCCGCTTCAAGCAGGGAAGTTGGTGAGTTCCAAGCCCCCTGCGGGGCTGGGTGGTACCCACTGAGCCCCTCTTGGCATCTGGGCTGGGATTTCAGGAACACCGTGCATTCTGTAGAGAACGCCACCGACTGTTTTCCACGAGCCTTTTTGGAATACTTGCTGCAGACGCTTCTAAACCCGGTCTAGAACATTCTGAAAACGTTTTGATTTTCTGCAGACTTTTCCGTGGGAGTTGTGGGCTGCTCAGCAGCAGAGTGTTGTCTCTTGCGTTGTTTCCATGGCTCCATCCATGTGAGGGTGGGCTCCCGGGTGGTGCTGGGGGTGGGCATGTAACTCGCCCTGATGTCCCACGGAGAGGCCCTGCAGTCACGCCTGCTGGCCTCTGGGCCCCACCCCCTTCTTGTCCTGCCTTCGCCCTCACGTGGGACCAGCATAACACGGTTCTCTCTGCTGTGTCCAGGTGGCTTCTCCACTCGGCCCTTTGTGAGAAGTGTTCAGCGTCAGAGCCTGTCGTCCAGGTCGTCGGTCACCAGTCCCCTGGCCGTCCCCGAGAGCTGCATCCGGCCATCCTGGTCCCTGTCGGCCAAGCTGCAGATGCGTTCCAATTCCCCATCACGCTTCCCTGGGGACTCACCGCTGCACACGTCCGCCTCCACCCTGGAGAAGATCGGGGAGGCGGCCGACGACAAGGTCTCCATCTCTTGCTTCGGGAGCCTGAGGAACCTTTCCAGCAGCTTCCAGGACGCGGGCGAGAGCCATGGGCGGCGGGAGCCACGGGCGGGGGGCCGGGCCCCGCTGGCGGTCATGGACGGCGTGTTCAAGGACGAGGCGGGCCCGCGCCCGGGGCACCCCGGCGCCCTGGATGCGCCTAGCGGGAACCCAGCCCCGGGGGGCTGCTCACCCGCTGACTCGGACCCCTTTGACAACAACAACCAGATCGCCTATGTGGATCAGAGCGACTCCGTGGACAGCTCTCCGGTCAAAGAGGCGACCCCCCCGGCCAAGAAGCCCGAGAGCACCGCCAAGAGGTCCCCCGGCGCCAAGCGGGCGTCGGAGCCCGAGAGAAGCTTGCGCAAGGGGCGGCCAGTGCTGGCCAGCCAGGACTCGTCCCTCTCCAGCACCTCCCCGTCCTCGCCGGTCCCCGTGAAGGCCTCCCTGAAGCCCTCCCGCCCCCGGAGCAGAGCCGACGCCGCCTCCAGGAAGGAGGCCGGGGGCCGGCACCCAGCTCCCGCCGCCGCCCACCCCCGCAAGGAGCCCTCCGCCAGAACCCCGGACCCCGCGTCCTCCCCGTCCCCACAGAAGCCCAGGTCCGCGTCGTCCCTGGCGCACGCGCCGTCCGCCTCCGCGGCCAGAAAGGGCGCTGGCCCGGCGCCCAGGGGCCCCTTTCCGCCGGGCAAGGGCCGGGCCTCCGAGCGGACCCTGAGCCGGGAGGGCTCCCGCCAGAGCCTGGCCTCCGAGCGGGGCAGCCTTCCGCCCGGCTCCAAGCCCGGCTCGCCCCGCGGGAGCCAGGCGCGCGCCGGCGAGGGCCGCCCCGACGGCCGGCACGTGCGCAGCAGCTCCATGGCCAGCCTGCGCTCCCCCGGCACCGGCACGCGCGCGGGCCTCAAGCGGGACAGCAAGTCCGAGGACAAGGGGCTGTCCTTCTTCAAGTCGGCCCTGCGGCAGAAGGAGACGCGCCGCTCCACCGACCTGGGCAAGACGGCCCTGCTGTCCAGGAAGGCGGGCAAGGGCGCCGGGGAGGACAAGGCCGAGCGGGGGTCCCCGGCCCCCGCCTCCCAGCCCCCGCACGCCGGCGGGAGGGAGCAGCCCGCCCCCAAGGACCCCACGCCCAGCAGACACTCCCTGCTGTCCAGCCGCAGGTCCAGGTCTTCCCCGCTGGAGGCGGGTGCGCCCTCGGCTCCCGGCGCCCGGCCGGGGGCGGTGGCGGCCGAGAAGCCGGCCGCCAAGGTGTCTTCGAAGAGCATGCCACCCTCTGCACGGTCCTCCTCTCAGAAACCTCAGTGAGCCCCCCGCGGCCCGGGACTTGCTCCGTGAAGACGCTGGTTTATTTATTTAGAGCCCCGCACCCCCGCCCCCCGCTCCCCGCTTTTGTATTCTCTCGGGGTCGCGTGCCCGAGTCTGTGTGCGCGCAGGGGGGCGCGCGGAGTCTGAGTGCAGGTTGGTCCAAGTGTGGCCTTATTCCGTCTCTGAACCAAAATCACAGCCATCGGCGAGAGCACCACGGCCCAGTGGACGGGAGCCCCTGCGGGCGGCGCACCCCGGGCAGGAGGGCCCCGAGCAGGGTCTGTCCCGCACTCCCCGAGGCCTCCTGCCGACGCGGGGGCTGGGGGACCCGGTGAAGCGCACCCACTCGGTGCGTCCCCGCCCCACGCGGCAGCGCCTCCCCCGCTGGCAGGAGCCCCCGACACCTGTGGCCGCTCGACGTGAAAAACCGAGGGAAAAACTCTGCTTTCTGCACTTTGGCCCCTCCTACCAGTCTTTGTAAAGGGCAATATTTTCACACTAACGTTTCTCAGGTATATCTACTCAGCTAGTCTCGGGCGGGGGGTGTGGGTCAGGGGAGTGGGGCGGGCGGTGGGGGCCGTGAGCCACTCCCGCCTCCCCCCACTCCTGGCATTCCTGGGCGGTCCGAGTCTTTCAAGACCCTTCTCAGTCTCCGGAGAGGCGCGTCCCCTAAGCTGCCTTCCCCGGGTGGCAGGTTGGAGAGCTCAGGAGCTGACCCATCGTGAGGGCAGGCGTGGCTCCTAACCTGACCGGGGAGGCACGGGGGGGGCACCCCCGGAAGATTCCTCGGGGCAGGACCCGACTCTAAGCGGTCAAGTCCGCCTCTCCGTCTGGTAGGCAGCGCCGTGGGGAGCTTGCAAGGTGTAATCCGAAGAGGAGGGGCATGGGGCACCCCCCCTCCAAGGCTGCTGGGCCTTGGGGGACCCTGCCGCGACCCTCCCTCCGAGCAGCGACTCTCTGACCCCGAACTCACCGGGCACCCCGGGTGCGCACGCTCCCCCTGGAGCTGCTCCTGCAACTGCATCACGGGAGAAAGAACCGGGCCTGGGGGTGGAGAGCAGGGGCGTCCCCACAAACCTCACAGAGAAGTCCCGTCGTTTTCTGAGCTTGTTGCAGGTGTCCCAACACGTTTTAAGTGTTTCGTTTCCTTTCTTGGTTCTTTCCCCCCTCCCTTTTTTTCTTTTCTTTTGGATGTCAGGACAGTCCTGATTGTCTTAGGGTAGCATTTGTCACTTTGCCATGAAATAACAGCATGTTAAGTTTGTATGTTTGTAAATAATGACTTTTTTTTGATCATAGACTGCAAGTCCTTCCTGAATTCTTGGTGCACAAATCCATTTGTCCTCTCCCTTGGCAGTGTTGCTGGCTGGGGAGTAACTGGAACGCGCACTGCTCTGAATTCTGCACTGCCTGGCACCCCCTTCCGCCTCGCCTGCCCTCCCCCCCCTCCCTGCCTGCTCCCTCCCTCCCTCCCTTCCTCCCTCCTTCCCTCCCTCCCTCCGGTCTTTCATCCTTCTTCCCATCTCCCTCCCTTCCTGTGGGGAAATGTTTTCAGTAGTGTAGTTACTTAATTTAATTTTGCTGCTAATTGGAGCGTTAGCAGGTAACTAGCAAGCCTGGAGACCGTTTATGTTGAGGGTAGCTGGAATTTTCGACCCTTGCAACATTGGAGACTTAACTTCTCAGTCTTGCCAACGTTCCTGCAGTGCTCTGTAGAACTCGTGGACCCTGAGCCGCCGGCCCCTGGCATTCGGATCGGTGCTCACATCGCTGGGTGTCTGTCCTCGTCCCCTCTCCAGCCTCTGGTGGCCCAAAGCAGTGACCCCGCCCCTCTGCTGGGCTGGCACAGTGACTTCTAAGGGCCCTGTCAGTGTTTAGCCACTGCTAGTTTTCTTGTGTCACTTTTATTTCCTGGGGGGTGGGGGGTGGGGGGGGGAGTGGTACTGGGTTATGGGAATATCAATATCAGGAAGTGAACATTTGAGTTGGACTACTTCTTTTTCTTTAATAGGTGTATCTCATTTGAAATCTCTCAGGAGCCATCTTTAGAATTGTAATTTGACTATACAAAGGGTCACAGGACCATTGTGAGGGGCAGGGGACCCTGTGGTCAGTTAATCATTGGTAGAAACTAGTTTGATTTTCTTTCTGCAGTGGTTAATTTTTTCTTTAATTCACGAGTCCTCCAGGAATGGTTCCACCCCCTCCCCCATTATGTCTGGTGTTTTTAAAAATCAACTCTCACCGATCCTGTCCATTTCCCACGGGATCTAGAAATCAAGTTCCAGTATCTGTAAGCTGCCTGTGTAGGGGATCCATTCCTTGTTTCATGTGTAAATGGGATGAAGAAATAATCAGGCCGCACTGCGAGCCTTGTCACCGACCTTGGGACGTTTCTGTTCTGTGCCTGGGAAAACACACCAAGTCCTTCCTTTGTCCCCAGCCGCTCCACATCGCGTTAGTGCTGAGCTGAGGAAGCGGCGGTATGCCCCGCAGTGGAAGTACCAAGCACCTGAGGGGGAAATGGTTACCCGGGTCAAGTCCGTTCTCTGGTTGAGCCAGAAACGTGGTGTGTGTTCTCGAGACTCTCCTGCTGGCCTTTGGTGAAGGCCGTTTGTCCTTGTGACCATCTGTCTGTCCGTCCGTTTGTCTGCTAAGAGGAGGCAAGCAAGGCTTGGGTTTCTGGAATTGACCGAAGCAGTCCTTAGAGCAGTCGTGTTGCACCAGTGACGTATGTCCTGTTCTTGACCCCTTTCTTTCCTTGGGAACATTCGGTCTCATTCCCCAAGACAGCCCGACACCTCGCCTCTCAGGCGGTGGAAGCACAAAGAAACTGTAAGCTCCTGTTCTCCCGGAGACCATGTCCCCTGCCCCCCCAAAGCCTCATCACCCCCCTCCCCCCCAGCAGTGCTGCCCTGGCCCTGGGGACGTGAGCCCTGGATGGGGTGGGGTGGGGGTCCGCCTCCATGCACCCCACATGGGTGAACGTTCTGCCACCCCTCCCTCCATCCTGCGAGGCTGAGTGGAGGCTGCTACTCTGGACCCGTCACCTGCTCTCGGAGTCTGCTACATCCACACAGAGCCCCCTGGGAGAATCGCTAAGGGACCCGGGAGGCCGCGGCCATTCCAAGGAGCGCCAGCTCCCGGATGCTGGTGGATGGGCTAAGGCCTGCGGCTCTCTCCGAGTGCGTCAGTCCTGGAAACCAAAAGTGCCCTTCTTCATCTTTGGAGACATCTCGCTCTCACACCCACTTTCCCGGACAGGGCCGTCTTGCTCACTGCATGGGGGCTAGGAATCCACGATGAGATCACGGCACTGGAACAGGCTTTCTGCAGAGTTGGAGGTGGCGACCTGGGGGAGGGATGAGAGGGGAATTGCCATCCCGCTAACAGAAGTACGGGGGGTGGGGGTGGGAAAGAGCCACGTGTGATGGAGACTGATGGAGACGGCAGCAGCCTTCCAGGGAGAGGGAGCGGAGAGGAGCCCCGAGCAACATTCATCCATTTCAAATAAACGTTTCCAAAGGAGCTGGATTTCCGACCTGACCTTCCGTTCTGACACTTGGCTACACAGTAGAACTTCTTTTTATCTTCATGTAAGTGGTTGTTGTTCCTGGGTTAAAAACAAACAAAACGAAACTCGTCTTTCTGGGTTGGATTTTTGAGATCGTCTGCAAATCCTAAGCACAGTTGAATTGTGACGCATGCTGCCCTTTGTGTCGGGGGCCATGCAGGGCTGCGTTTGCGGCTGCCTTGGGCCTGCCTCAGACGCAAACGCAAAAATGTGGCAGGTCCTCCGCAGGCTGGTTTTCATTTCTTCATGGGTGTTGTATAGCCAAACCGGGCCACATATTTTTGGGGGGAAATCCTAAACTTTCAGTAAATACCCGATGTCTCCTTCTGCCTTCTGATCAACCCCCAAAGTATTGTTTTTGCAGCTGCATTTTGAGCGTGACCAGATTTTTTTTCCTCCCTGCCAAGTTATGAAAGCAATTTTTTGCATGGCCTCTCTCTAACCCAGAAAGCATGCTCACTACCTATGCAAGCAACTGATAAAAGAGATAGACGACACTAAATGCAAGTTTTTCTTAAAAAAAAAAAGCTACTTCTATTACGGAGCTCTATTTTTGAACTTGTAATTTTTAAAATGTGGCTTAATCATCTGTAGAAAAACATGACTGTGCTTTCTTGTTTTGCCTGGCACATGTTTCTCTGTCAGTTCCCCCCTCCCCCCTTTGTGGCAGGAGTGTATGTACAATAGGTATTTTTTCGAGCAGGAGTGGAATGAATTATGTGGGGGGCACACGGGTTTATATACTGTATTTAGCCTGAAGACTTTCTTAAAGTATTTTGTTCTAAAAATAACCTGCCATTTTCTATAGATTTTAATTTTTTATATCTCCTAGGGGTTCTATCGTGGTCACAAGACAAGAATGTGGCTTCTAATTAGTGCTCACGATTTTAAGATGCTTTTGTAGCGATCGCGCTGTTTGGGAAGTCTCGGGAGCCTTCCAGCCTCTGTGGGGAGACTCAGCGGTGGGCTTGGGGGTAGCAGTAGTGGCTGGCTCGTACATCTGCCCCATGTTCCTTTAAGGCGGGCGTTTCCTGTTTGGGGGGCCCGGGGGACCCAGAGGCCCATTTGAGGGGGACTCCAGGTCTCACACATCCGCTCGCCCCCACACTTTATTTTGTTTTTTATATTCTGTTCATCCTCTGCTGAGTGAGTGCTCCAGGCACATCAGGAGAAGTTCCAGAAACTTCCGGGCTCTACTCCTCGGCTTCTGGTCCAGTCTGGGCAAGGGTGACTTCCTGGGGTGGCCGGGCCTTCTGGAGCACCTCCGACTTGGTTGAGCACTGTGGCCAGAATTCTTGTCTCCCAAGTGCTCAGGGGCACCCCGGTCCTCTGCGATGGGGGAGCGAGCAGGGAATGACCCCCTCCCCCATGGGGAAACACCCATGTCAACCTCTGGGATCGGGGTCCCACTCTCTTGGGAGTTCTGTGTCGTGGGGACTGG